GGGTGGGGGCAAATCTGGAGGCCAAGAGAAGGCGAGGAATTCCCAGGCTCAGACAAGAGGAGTTTCTGTCTTCACCCCACCTCTCTCCCCCATCACTCCTGAGGCCTCCACGTACCTTGAGGAAGTTTCCTGGGGGCTGACCAGGCACAAAGGGGTTGGCTCCTCTCTTGGTAAACATCCCTGCTCCCTCATCAGCGCAGGAGCCTGGTTACTCCACAGCTCAGGGTTGAAGTGTAGAGGCCAGACTCCACAGAGTCTACTGCCAGAGGGGCCATGGGCAAGCCACCTAGCTTCTGCAAGCCTCAGTTTCCTCACCTGTGTAGAATAGGATCTTTACAGGGTGTGGGCTCCATAGGATACTCCCTACAAAGCTCTTAGCACAGGGCCCTGCTCAGTGCGTCTTAACTGCTTTAGGAAAATCAAGCTCTTACTGAATGCCTCTGTGCACTGCAGGAGGCCTGCGGGGACAAAGACTCCTAAGAAACCAGCTCTGACTTTAAGGGGTGCCTGGTTTGGGATGTGGGTTTTACTGATCGGGGACATCCAATTTTTAGAGAGCAATTTCATTTCTAGGAATTTGCCTGAAAGATGTGCCAAAGATTTCGCTCTAAGTAGGCTGACAGTGGTGATATTTATAAAGCGAAAAACTGGGAACAGCCTTAATGTCCAGCTGCAGGAGATCGGTTAATGTGTGATGGGACAGATACAGCATTATGCACTCACTCAAGAGGAAGTAGAGGATACTTGTTGACATGGAAAGATGTTCATTATTAAGTGAAAAAAGGCAGATTAGAAAGCAGTATTTGCATGTAAAAAGCATATACCCAGATATGTCGCAAGACCTGGAAGCTGATACTCTCAAATATTAAGAGTGGTTAGCGCTGAGTGATATTTACAAATTTTCTTATTCTAAAATTTCCTTTTTGAAATTTTTTAGAGTGAATTCTTTTCTTTTCGTGCATTTCTTTGTAGGAAGCCCTGGTGGCACAGTGGTTAAGCACTCGGCTGCTAACCGAAAGGTTGTCAGTTTGAATCCACCAGCCACCTCTGCAGGAGAAAGATGTGGCAGTCGGCTTCCCTAAAGATCACAGCCTAGGAAACCCTATGGGGCAGTTCTGCTCTGTCCCATAGAGTCTGTATGAGTCAGAATTGACTCGACGACACCGGATTCTTTTGTGGAAAATACAGTAATATATTTTATTGACTTTATTTTATAATGTTATCAAAATATGTTGTTGTTGTTGTTGTTAGGTGCCGTCTAGTCGGTTCCAACTCACAGTGACCCTGTGTACAACAGAACAAAACACTGCCCTGCCCTGCGCCATCCTCACAGTCGTTGCTATGTTTCAGCCCATCGTTGCAGCTACTGTGTCAGTCCATCTTCTTGAGAGTTTTCCTCTTTTTCTTTAACACTCTACCAAGCATGATTCCTTCTTCAGGGACTGGTCCCTCCTGATAACATGTCCAAAGTACATGAGACAAAGTCTTGCCATCCTCACTTCCAAGGAGCACTCTGGCTGTATTTCGTCCAAGACAGATTTGTTCGTTCTTCTGGCAGCCCATCGTATATTCAATATTCTTCACCGACACCATAATTCAAAGGCATCAATTTTTCTTTGGTCTTCCTTATTCATTGTCCAGCTTTCACATGCATATGAGGTGATTGGGAATATCATGGCTTGGGTCGGGAGCACCTTAGTCCTCAAAGTGACATCTTTGCTTTTTAACACTTTAAAGAGGTCTTTCGCAGCAGATTTGCCCAATGCAATGTGTCATCTGATTTCTTGACTGCTGCTTCCATGGGTGTTGATTGTAGATCCAAGTAAAATGAAATCCTTAACAATTTCAATCCTTTCTCCATTTATCACAATGTTGCTTATTGGTCCAGTTGTGAGGATTTCTGTTTTCTTTATGTTGAGGTGTAATCCATACTGAAGGCTGTGGTCTTTCATCTTTATCAGTAAGTGCTTCAAGTCCTCTTCACTTTCAGCAAGCAAGGTTGTGTCATCTGCATAATGCAGGCTGTTAATAAGTCTTCCTCCAGTCCTGATGTGGTGTTCTTTTTCATATAGTCCAGCTTCTCGGATTATGTGCTCAGCATATAGATTGAATAGGTAAGGTGAAAGGATGCAACCCTGACGCACACCTTTCCTGACTTTAAACCATGCAGTATCCCCTTGTTCTGTTTGAATGACTGCTTCTTAATCTATATACAGGTTCCTCATGAGCACAATTAAGCATTCTGGAATTCCCATTCTTCGCAATGTATCCATAATTTGTTACGATCCACACAGTTGAATGCCTTTGTATAGTCAATAATACACAGGTAAACATCTTTTCTGGTATTCTCTGCTTTCAGCCAGGATCCATCTGACATCAGCAATGACATCCCTGGTTCCACATCCTCTTCTGAATCTGGCCTGAATTTCTGGCAGTTCCCTGTTGATGTACTACTGCAACCGCTTTTGAATGATCTTAAGCAAAATTTTACTTGCGTGTGATATTAATGAGATTGTTCAATAATTTCCGCATTTGGTTGGATCACTTTTCTTTGGAATGGGCATAAACATGGATCTCTTCCAGTTGTTTGGCCAGGTAGTGGTCTTCCAAATTTCTGGGCATAGATGAGCGAGCACGTCCAGGGCTGCATCTGTTTGTTGAAACATCTCAACCGGTATTCCCTCAATCCCCGAAGACTTGTTTTTCGCCAATGCCTTCAGTGCAGCTTGGACTTCTTCCTTCAGTACCATCGGTTCTTGGTCTTATGCTGCCTCCTAAAACTGACTGAACGTCGACCAGTTCTTTTTGGTACAGTGACTCTGTGTATTCCTTGCATCTTCTTTTGATGCTTCCTGCATCATTCAGTATTTTGCCCATAGAATCCTTTGGTATTACAACTCGAGGCTTGAATTTTTTCTTTAGTTCTTTCAGCTTGAGAAATGCCAAGCATGTTCTTCCCTTTTGGTTTTCTAACTCCAGGTCTTTGCACATTTCATTATAATACTTGTCTTCTCTAGCCGCCCTTTGAAATCTTCTGTTCAGCTCTTTTACTTCATCGTTTCTTCCATTCGCTTTACCTACTCGAGGTTCAAGAGCAAGTTTCAGAGTCTCTTCTGACATCCATTTTGGTCTTTTCTTTCTTTCCTGTCTTTTTAATGACTTCTTGTTTTCTTCATGTATGATGTCCTTGATGTCATTCCACAACTTGTCCGGTCTTTGGTCATTAGTGTTCAACTCGTCAAATCTAGTCTTGAGATGGTCCCTAAATTCAGGTGGGATATACTCAAGGTTGGACTTTGGCTCTCGTGGACTTGTTCTAATTTTCTTCAGCTTCCACTTGAACTTGCACATGAGTCATGGATGGTCTGTCCCACAGTTGGCCCCTGGCCTGGCTCTGACTGATGATATTGAGCTTCTCCATCGTCTCTTTCCACAGATGTGGTCAATTTGATTCCTGTGTATTCCATCTGGCGAGGTCCACGTGTATAGCTGCAGTTTGTGTTCTTGAAAAAAAGTATTTGCAATGAAGAAGTCATTGGTCTTGCAAAATTCTGTCACGCAATCTCTGGCATCATTTCTGTCACCAAGGCCATATTTTTCAACTACTAATCCTTCTTTGTTTCCCACCTTCGAATTCTGATCATCAGTAATTATCAATGCATCCCATTGCATGTTCCATCAATTGCAGACTGCAGAAGCTGGTAAAAATCTGCAGTTTCTTCATATTTGGCAGTAGTGGTTGGTGCGTAAATTTGAATAATAGTTGTATTAACTGGTCTTCCTTGTAGGCGTATGGATATTACCCTATCACTGACAGCGTTGTATTCCAGGATAGATCTTGAAATATTCTTTTTGATGATGAGTGCAAAGGCATTCCTCTTCAATTTGTCGTTCCTGGCATAGTATACCATATGACTGTCCGATTCAAAATGGCCAATACCTGTCCATTTCAGCTCACTAATGCCTAGGATATCAGTGTTTATGCATTCTATTCCTTTTTTTTTTTTTACGATTTCCAATTTTCTAGATTCATACTTTGTACATTCCACCTTCTGATTATTAATGGACATTTGCAGCTGTTTCTTTTCATTTTGAGTTCTCCCACACGTCTGTCAGTCTGTGGTAGTGTGGGGGCTTGTGTGTTGCTGTGATGCTGGAAGCTGTGCCACTGATATTCAAATACCAGCAGGGTCACCCATGGTGGACAGGTTTCAGCTGAGCTTCCAGACTAAGACAGACTAGGAAGAAGGACCTGGCAGTCTACTTCTGAAAAAAAATTAGCCAGTAAAAACTTTATGAATAGCAGCAGAACACTGCCTGATATAGCGCCAGAAGATGAGCCCCCCAGGTTGGAAGGCACTCAGAAGACGACTGGGGAAGAGCTGCCTCCTCAACGTGGAGTCGGCCTTAATGACATGGATGGAGTCAAGCTTTCGGGACCTTCATCTGCTAATGTGGCACGACTCGAAATGACTTAGTACACTAAAATATAATAAATAAAAATCAATATTTAATATAAATAAAAATAATAAAATAAAGGGAAATTTTACCAGCTGTCTCCGTCCCCTTCCAGCCTTATCTCCTGAATGGATTGGACATCCTTGATCACTCTCAACAAGCATTAAAGTATGATGGTACTGTTGATTTCAGCTCTACTGCCATATACTAACCATTTACTGGGTACCAAGTACTGGCAAGGTTGTAAACATGAGTAACCACATCCCCAAGTGATCTGTATGCACGCCAAATTTGGGAAGCATTGAAAGAGGGAGTCTTTACCTCCCTCCCTTAAGTTATTCTCTTATTAACTCATTGCACCCACATATTCCTAGTTTGGAGGCGTGTATTTACGTACGCATGCGCACTCCTGGCGGCTTGCGCGGGGGGCGAGGGGCCTCGGCCTGGAGGCCCCGCCTCCTGTCGCCGACCATTGGCCGGCTCCATCAGCGCGCTCCTGATTGGTGACCGCGGGCCGGGCCTCACCGCCCATCAAAGTCCGAATGGCGGCGGACTCTTCGTTGCCGGTCCGGACCCCAGCGGCCGTGAGGCTGCCGCGGGCGGAGCCACTGGAGCTGGCGGCTGTGTGGATGCAGGGCACGGTGGTGGCGGCGGGAGGCGGCGAGGCGCGGCTGCGGGACCCGAGCGGAGCTTTCGCGGTGCGCGGCCTGGAGCGGGTGCCGCGCGGGCGGCCCTGCCTCGCCCTAGGTAACAGGCGGCCGGGCGGTGTCCGGGTGCGGGGAACGCTCCCGGACCGAGGTCAGATTCGAACCCGGGGTGACCCTGTCTTTGTACCACCAGAGGCTGGGCGTGGCTTTACCACCTCCTGGCCTTTGCTCTTGACATTCCTCCGCCTGTGTACCCCTTCTTTCTGTCCCTCCCGCAACCCCCACTCCTTACCTGAATTTAGCTGATGATATGCCTCACCTGCAGCCCTTTTAAGGTATACGTGTAGCTGGGACTCCTCCAGGGGGGCCTGGGCACCTGCATTTGTAAGAAACTTCTGTTTATTCCTAATGTCCCAACTCAGGTGTCATTCCTCCGGGAACCCTCCCTGACCCCTAGGAATGGTGACCCTCCTGTACCTGCTGCAGGGGACTGACTGCCTTAGGCGTAGTTCACCAGTGTTTCCTCCTCTGTTAAACCAGTGGCGCTCCAACTCGAGCATGGGTCAGACTTACATAGTGGGCTTGTTAAAACCCACACGTCTAGATTGTAAGCCAGAGCTTCTGAGTCTTCAGGTCTGGTAGAGGCTGATACTTTGCTTTTCTAACCAGTGACTCTGCTACTGCTGGTCCGGGGACCATACTTTGAGACCCTCCCGGCCAGAGTCTGTGCTGTGTTCCCAGCACCTGACGCATAGATGCCCTGAGGAAACAGCATTTCACAGAGTGACAGGCATTGAACACTTACTTTATTCAGTCCCTGGGTTGTTTATCCGGCACCTGCTGTGTGCCAGGCCCTCGTGAGGGAGGCCCTGGGCTGCAGCTGAGCCCCAGATGGACATGGCCGATCTGCTTCAAGGACGGGCCAGGGGCACATCTTCCCGAGACTCGCTGATCTCAGTGGAGCCAGGAGGAAGTGCAGGTTGTTGGAGCGATTGGTCGGAGGTGTTCCTGGAGGCTGTGAGGTCTAAGTCGAGGAGTCTGAAGGATGAGTAGACCCCCTGCCTTGTGAGGGACCTTCCTCCCAGATTGTCTTGGATTTGAACTGGAATCAGTGGTCTGGCTGGGGCTGCTTGGGACTCAGACAGTCCTGGGTTGAATCCCTGGCTCTGCCCCTTCCCAGCTGAGCTGCCTGTAGCACTTTCTTAACCTTTCTGGACCTGGATTCCTTCTGTAAAAAGGGACTAATAAGTCTTGCCTGTTGTGCGAATTGAGTAAATAAGTAGAAATGTGATGAAGTAAAAATGAGTTAAAAATGGCCTTAGCCCAGTGCCTGGCTCACAGTGAAGGTTCAAAAATGGTGACTATGGTTACATACTAACTCCCACCCCACTCCCTGTGCCATCCGTCTACCTCCCCTCTCTCCTGCCCTCCGCTCCCGTGCTAGCCTGGCACAGGGATTGACTGGCCACCTCTTTTCCTACAGCCCACAGGTTAAAAATGGTTTTTACATTTTTAAATGATTGAAAAACAAAATAAGAGTCATATTTTATGGCATGTGAAATGTCTGTGAAATTGAAATATCAGCGTCCGTTTAAGTGAAGTTTTACTGGAACAGATTTGTTTACGTGTTGTCTAGGGCTGCCTTCTCACTGCAGCAGCAGAGTTGCGCACTCGCGGCAGAGACCATATGGCCAGCAAAGCCGTAAGTGTTCACTGTCTGGTCCCTCACAGAGAAAGAGTGCCAACCCTTGGTCTGCCCCTTAATCCGGGCTGCTTTTGTGTCATGGCTCCCAGGCAAAGCCCCTTGAAGGCAGTGGGGCATCTCTGTGTCTGGGCTGCAGCTCTGGCGTGAGGCCTGGCCTGGGTAGCTACCCAGTGTTTGTGGAATGAGCACTGGTGAGTCTGTGACTTACCCACCGGCGTGAGTGCCCGTGGGCAGGACCATTGCTATTTCCTCTTACCAGTTCATCCCTGCATTTATTCAGCAAGTCTCAGCTAACACAGCCTACTCACTTCCTTCAGGTGGGGAGCCAGGAGAGTGAACAGGTCTCTAAAGCACAGTGATCCTACACGCATGAGTGTGGGGTACTGTAGGCGCAAGGAGCCCTGGGGGCGCAGCAGTTAAGCACTTGGCCACTAACTGAAAGTTTGGCAGTTTGAACTCACCAGCTGTCGTGGTTTGAATTCTGTCCCCCAAAAAATGTGTGTATCAGTTTGGCTAGGTCATGATTCCTGGTACTGTTTTCCTATATGTTGTAAACCTGCCTCTATGATGTTAATGAGGGAGGATGGGTGGCAGTTGTGTTAGCAAGGCAGGACCTGATCTACAAGACTGGATTGTGTCCTAAGGCAATCTCTTGAGATATATAAAAGACAGAAGTGAGCAGTGAGACGGGGACCTCATACCATCAAGAAAGCAGTGCCGGGAGCAGAGCACGTCCTTTGGACCGGGGTCCCTGCACCGAGAAGCTTGTAGTCCAGGGGAACACTGATGAGAAGGCCGACAGAGAGAGAAAGACTTCTCCTGGAGTTGAAGCCCTGAATTTGGACTTTTAGCCTACTTTGACTGTGAGGAAATAAACTTCTCTTCGTTAAGACCATCCACTTGTGGTGTTTCTGTTATGGCAGCACTAGATGACTAAGACAGCAGCCGCTCCGTGGGAGAATGATGGGGCAGTCTACTTCCATAAAAATTACTGCCTTGGAAACCCTATGGGGCAGTTCTGCTCTGTCCTATAGGGTCCCTATGAGTCAGAATTGACTAGATGGCAATGGGTATGTATATGTATATACTGTGGGCACAGAGGAGGGACAACTGAGGCAGCTTTGGGGGTCAGGGAAGGCTTCCTGGAGGAGGTGGACCTGAAGAGACATTGGAGTTTGGAGGTTGGCCAACCATCCTAGGTTGCCTGGGACCGAAGGGTTCCTGGGACGTGGGACAGTTGATCACCCTGTGTCCATGTGCAGTGGCAGGAGATTGTCCAGGTCCAAGGAACAGCATGTGGAAAGGCTTGGAGATGACTGCTTAGTGTCTTTGGGGAGCCGCGAGCAGAATGTGGGGCAGCCTCCGTAGCTGCTTGTGGGACCTGCCAGCCTCAAGGTGGCTGTTAGCTCACGTCACTGCATCCTCTGAACCTCCGCTGGGCCTTCTCTGGAGCATCTAGCAGTTTTTCTCCATAAACATCAGGTACTGAAGGTGCAGAGCTGAGTCAGATGCTTTCTGCCCTCAGGTTGCTCCCAGTCTGCTGGAGGAGACAGGAGACAAATCACCTAGAATGCACTGTGGTCAGCACAGTTCTGGAGGCTGGAGCTACCGCTGAGAAGGTCACCATAACAGCAGAGCGGGCCGTGGCTGTGAAGAGCGAGAGCTTGGAAGCTGGAAGAAGACTTTTGAAGTAGTCGAGGCAAGAGAGGATGAAGGCTTGACCGGGGCCGGGGGTGGGGTGGGGTGGAGGGAGACCTGGTGGAGAGATGCTGGCAGGGGAGGGGGTAGGAGGTAGGAGGTAGGAGGATAGGTAGAATTAATAGGAACTAGTAACCAGTTGCAGCCCTGGTGGTGCAGTGGTTAAGAGCTATGGCTGTGTTATGAATTGAATTGTGTCCCCCCAAAAAATGTGTGTCAATTTGGCTAGTCCATGATTGCCAGTGTTGTGTGATTGTCCACCATTTTGTCATCTGATGTGATTTTCCTATGCGTTGTAAATCGTACCTCTATGATGTGAATGAGGTGGGATTAGCGGCAGTTATGTTAATAAGCAGGACTCAATCTACAAGATTAGTTTGTGTTTTAAATCAATCTCTTTTGAGATATAAAAGAGAGAAGCAGAGAGACAGGGGGACCTCATACTGCCAAGAAAGTAGTACTTGGAGCAGAGCGCGTCCTTTGGACCCGGGGTCCCTGTGCTGAGAAGCTCCCAGTCCAGGAGAAGATTGATAACAAGGACCGTCCCCCAGAGCTGACAGAGAGAGAGCCTTCCCTTGAAGCTGGCGCCCTGAATTTGGACTTCTAAACTACTAGACTGAGAGAATAAATATCTGTTTGTTAAAGCCACCCACTTGTGGTATTTCTGTTACAGCAGCACTAGATGACTAAGATGGGCTGCTGACCGAAAGATGGGCAGTTTGCATCCACCAGCTGCTCCTTGGAAACCATGGAGCAGTTCTGCTCTGGCCTGCAGGGTCGCTATGAGTCAAAATCGACTCGACAGCATCAGGTTTGGGTTTGGCGTAACCAGCTCCTGTTTTTCTGTGTGTATGTGACCAGTTGCCCCTGGGTGGTGCAGATGGTTCACACGCTCAGCTACTGATTGAAAGGTTGGAGGTTGGAGTCCACCTCGGGGCACCTTGGGAGAAAGCCCTAGTGATCTCCTTCCGAAAAGGCAGCTCTTGAAAACCCTGTGGAGCACAGTTCTAGTCTGACACACATGGGGTCGCCATGAGTCGGACTGGATGTCAACTGGTTGAGTAACCAGCTTGTCTAATCCCAGCGGAAAGAGGCACCGACTGAAGGCTTGAGCTTATCTTTCTACGGGTCTACGGTTGTTAACCTTGTCTGGTTGGGATCATTATTTCTGAGGGTTCCGTCTCTACTCGCACTTTAGGGCCATTCAGAGAGGTAGCACGTGTATTTTAGAGCTAAGCTCAGTCACTGAGAGACCTAACGTTACTTACTGAAGCAGAATCGGGAGGTGGGTTCAGAGTAGCCTGAAGACATCCTGCCAAGGGTTGAAAACCAGAGGGCTCAGGTATCAACCTGCCTGGCTTCCTTCAGCTGCAGGAAGCACAAGCCCAGCCCTGGTGGGTAGAGGTAACGTGATTACAGCGGCCTTGCAGCAGCACACAGTGGGGGCTGGCAGGGTGCCTACCCTTCCTGCTGTGTTTGGGGTTTTTAACACAATTGGGTTTTGTGTGGTTAAGACTGGCCAAGTTTTGCTTTCAAGGAGAGCCACTTCCCCTAGGGAATGGGAAGAGCGTCGCGGTTAATGTGTTATTAGATCATTCCTATGGCAGCCTGCCCTCTTGCTGATTTGCCTCCGTGTGCCCAGCCAGTGGTCAGGATACAGAGGTGGTGGCAGGCGTGGCTCCTGTGCACTTGGAGTGGGTGACGTTGTTGGGGAGCGTGGGGGATGCTGCCACCTGCCTGGCTCTTGGCAACACTGGGGAAAATTGGATTTGCTTTGGGGCTGTCAGGGGGATGTCTTTGCAGAAAGAAGGTCTGTCGTGTGCACAGAGACCAGTCACACATCCTGGCATTGAACAAGGAATGAGGAGTAGAGAAAAGCCTGGATTTCCTGCCCCTGCCCTAGAGTAACCCGTCTGATTGTAACTCATGCTCTGATGTCTTCCCATTCCTAGCATGTGAGTGTTTTGTGCATGATGGTAGCTTGCTGCAATTTTGTTTAACAATTTTAAAACCAGAAACCAGAGAAGATACATATGTCATCTTCCAAGTCAAATGTTTGACTTACTGTGTGTATGTATGTGTATGTATATAATATACGAAGCCCTGGTGGCACAGGGGTTAAAGCTTGGCTGCTAACCAAAAGGTCAGCTGTTCAAATCCACCAGCTACTCCTTGGAAACCCTATGGGGCAATTCTACTCTGTCCTGTAGGGTCACTATGAGTCGGAATCGACTTGACAGCAACGGGTTTGGTGTTTTTGGTTTATGTGAATATACGTGTGTATATATATTTATGAGCCCTGGTGGCACACTGGTTAAGCACTTGGCTGCTAACCAAAAGGTTAGCGATTCGAACCCATCCAGTGACTATGCGGGAGAAGGATCTGGTGATATCTGCTTCCATAAAGATCACAGCCAAGAAAACCCTATGTAGGCAGTTCTGCTGCATCACATGGGGTCACTCACTATAACTCGTAATCACCTCGACAGCACCCAGCAACAACTGTATGTATATATATGCATATCACTGACTGCCTTGGCATTTGATAACTAATGTCTGAATTTTCTTCTCTCTCCATTGTTGCCGCTCGGATGAAGTTGGGCTCTCTGGACTGGGCCCGTTTGCTTCATCTTTTTTTTTTTTTCCTTCTATTAATGTGAATATTAAGACAAGATTTCTTCTTCTTCTAGGAAAGTACGTGATGGTTATGGGAGTGGTTCAGGCGTGTAGCCCTGAGCCGTGCCTGCAGGCTGTGAAGATGACAGATCTTTCTGATAACCCCATCCATGAACGCATGTGGGAACTGGAAGTAGAAGACTTACACAGGAATATTCCTTAGACGATGCTGGAGCTGGAGTTAAAACCGACAGAAAGCCTGGAGCTGTTGAGGTTCTTATGCCGTATGGATTTCATCTAGCTGGGTCAGTGGCTGTCTCTCTAGTTTCTCAGAGAGCTTAGAGTGATCAAGGAGTCTGGATGTAGGAATTCTTAGTGCGAGGATACTTAACTCGGCCTGCGCTGCCCGTTGCCTTGAATAAGTTTGCTGATGAAAAGCAGATGTTGTGTTCCTTTTTTTGGGGGGGGGGCCATGGGGGCTGTGTGTGTTAATTCTTTCTCTCTCTAAAGGACACAGAAATCTCACATTGCATTTTCCAGATTTAACAAGTGATGATCCTTTTTCCATTACTCTTGCCACCCTGTTTTTATGATGCAAAATTTGAATCTCGGTCATTGCCCGAGGTAATTAAAGTGTGGTTCCAGGCAGGAAAACAGCCTGCATCAGAAAGGACTGACGTTCTCCATCCACAGCTCGCATATCCTGTTTGCAAGTCAAATGGCGTGTTCCAGCTGCAGGGCACAGCGGCCCTCCCCGACACACAGCCTGCCTTCCTTCCACCACACAGCCGGCCTTCCTTCCACCGCAGACACCACTCAGCCAGTTAAGGTCAGGTTCCCCTTAGATATGGAAGGTGATACTTGCCTTGCCCACTTCACTTAGAGATGTTGAAACACTCTCAAAATGTGTTCCATGAAAGAGGATCTAGAATGGAATGAAGATCACAATTACAAACGACTTTCAGGCCTTCACTAAACTTCCACCTCATCGCTTTGGGGAGACCCCACGAAGGAGCAGCCCCCTGCTCCAGAATGCTGACATCATGCATGGAACGATTGTTTGCTGTGCTCGTAGTGAGTGTTGGGTTTCTGCTTACTGCCCGTCCCTCGTTTTTCTTCAGATTGTAAACTTTAAGGGGGTCATGTTCTAACGTGACTGCAGATTTGGTAGCATTGCACATTTTATGGTGTCATGATAAACAGAAGTTAATAATTTTAATATAGCTAGATGTATTTGTTTTTTATGTTGTTGCCTGTTATTATTTTTTTATTATTGAAAGTATACACAGCAGAACAGACACCGATTTGACCATTTCTACATGTACAGTTCAGGGATATTGACTACATTCTTCAAGTTGTGCAGCCATTCTCACCCTCCTTTTCTGAATTGTTCCTCCACCATTAACATAAACTCACTGCCCCCCAAGCTTCCTGTCTGACCTTTGCGATGCTGTTGTCATTTTGATCCCATATAGATAGTTCTTCAGAAGAGCATAATGCTCAAGGCAGACATTCTTTACTAATTAAGCTAAACTACTGCTTGATTTAAAGAAGACTTCAGGGGTTATTTTTAGGTTTAAAGATTATCTCAGGTTTATAGTTTCAAGGGTTCATCCAGCCTCAGTGGCTCCAGAAAGTCTGGATTTGCATGGCATGATTTTTTGCTGTGGTTGTGCTGAATGTTGGCTTTCTGCTCTCTGCTTACTGCCCATGTCTCATTTTTCTTTAGATTGTAAACATTAGAAGGGAGTCATGTGCCAGCGTTCCTGTAGAGTTTGGTGGCATTTCACATTTTATGGTGTCATGATAAACACAGGTTAATAATTTTTAATATAGCTAGATGTATTTTTTTTTATGGCTTACATTTTTGCATGTTCTACCAGTAATAAACTTTTTTAGATGTTTATTTTTAAACTATAGAAATTTTCTTTCGAAGGTGGGCAAATTGGAAAGTATGCATTGTTTTTATGGATCTGGGTTGGAAGTTTGAAGCTTGTTTCAAGTTGGTTTGTGTTCACAATTTGGGGTTTGTCAGGCCATATCGCTGAGCTTTAACGGGAGCTTTGCAGCCCCACAGACCTGAATTTGAGCCTTTTCATCTGTTGCTAAACTTGCTGTGTGACCATAAGCAAGTTACCCAACCTCTCTGAGATTATACCCTGCTCATAGCACTGGTGTGAGGGAAAAATGAAGATGCGTGTAAATCACTTTTACATAATGTCTGGCACACAGTAGGCACTAAGTCGTTGCTGGAAGGAGGAGTAACATCTTGCTTACATTTTTCAGTTGCCTTAAAAAAAAATTATTTTTTAGAACAATTTTAAATTTATAGAAGAGTTGCGAAGATAGTACAGAGAGTTCCCATACACCCCACACCCCGGTTCCCCTATCATTAGCTTCTTATATTAACTGGTATGCTTGTTACAACTAATGAACCAATATTGATATGTTACTATTAACTAAAGCTCATGCTTTATTCAGACCCCCTTCTCTTTCCCCTGATGTCTGTTTTCTGTCTCAGGATCCCATCCAGGACACCGTGTTACATTTAGTTGTCATATCTCCTTAGGCTCCTGTTGGCTGGGACAGTTCCTGGGTTGCTTTTGATTACATTGAAATTTAATTTTTGGTATAGTCCATGGGATGTATGTTATAGGCTTCTTAGGTTAAAACTTTATTGCTCCCCCAACAAAAATGATTATGGGGTGCCCAGTAGTAACCCCTTGAGCTGTGTCTGTGGTAGATGCTGGAAGAGCTTAAACTGAAGTCTGCCCGACAGCAGCCGCTCCTTATCTGAAACCTACTTTTCTGCTCGCACACTGACCCAGGCTGCCGAGAACCTCGGTGACATCCTGCCTGGCTTGTCCTCCCCTAAGTGTCTGGCAGCTAGTACCCGATTGAAGAGTGCTCAGTGGGGAACATTGCTGCCTGGCCAGCAAAGTGTCTCAGGAAGATAGGGGGTGGGAAAAGGAGGTGCTATGTGTTTTTCCCAAGTCCCTGCAGACTGCCAGCGGCTCTGTTCTGGAACCGGGCCTCCTCAGTCTGTTAGCTGGGCCGCTGTGGTTTCTCTGAATATTAATAACTCTTACTGCTTCAACTAGAGTTTCCTCCTTGACATCACCAAACGAAAACGCATCTTGTGGGGAGAGTTTCGATTTTCTGGTACCAAATCAAAGTTGGTTTATCAGCAAACGCCCCACGGCAGACAACGGCCGTGTGCTCAGGCAGCGTTGCTTCCCTTTTGAAATTGGCTCTTTTCTAAGAACTGAAAATAAGCAACCTAGGCCATGACTTCACTTTTCTTGGAACTGCTTTACGTTAGAAGAAGAAAAAAAAAATAAAAAAATAAAACCCTCATTTAGCTGGTGTTGGATGGCTGAGTTCCCTAATTCTTTCTGTTGCATATTCTTGTAAAGCTAGAGTTTACTGCAAAATTCTTGTCCATCAGGTGAACAGGAGGAGGAAGGAATGACCACGTAGAAGACTTTTGTATCCTGGTTGCTTGTGTCTGATTAAATGGTTGAGAAAAGGAACTTGGAGGAGACATTGTGTGTAGAGTCGCGTTCATATCCCAATGGTCTCAGCCCATCTGTTGGGCCACCAAGTGCGCCTGGGCTGGTGTTGCTAAACCTCAGGCCATGGTCCAAACTCCCGAGCAGCTGCTTGTTTGCAAGGATAAGGGGGAAAACACATTTTCAGCCATAGTGACCTACTTTTAAGCAGCGGTCTTGGAGTCCATGCAAAAGGACATCTTTAGGAGGCTCTGCCTGATTAGAGTAACAGAGACAGCTGCTCAGTCAAGGGGGGGCGCCACTGAGCAGTTTCTATTAAGGTAAGGCCCAAAGTCCTTCCTCAAGCATGGCAGACATAGAGGCATGGGGTGGGGCAGAGGGGGACACTTGCCCCTGGGTGCAAGTTCAAGGGGGCACCAAATGAGGCACAAAATGACATTCCCAGGCACCACAAATATGAAATGCACCTGACTGAGGCAGCTGGATAAGGGGGGACCACGTTCCTGCTGATGCTGCTATCAACGTCTAAGTATTAATTGTAAAATTGGGGGGGGGGTACAACTTAAGAGATTGCCCCGACACTCCTCACGCCCCTGAGGGATGCAATTTTAATACTTGTCATACATGCTATTTTTGTCCGTCAGTCACACCTGGTTCCAGCCTTGGTCTTACCCTTTCCTGTCTGACCTCAGGCTTGGAGGTCACTCTGTAAAGTGGAGATAATTCTTCCTTCACAAGGTGGTTCTGAGGAGCGGAGATACCGCATGTAAAGCCTGGTGCCTGGTATGTTCTTGGGAAGCTGATTAGGTGCCCCTCCCCTGTCCCTTGTGGATCTCTGTACATATGCACATAGATTATTGTGGAATCCTCTCTCAGTATCTCTGTCCCCATTGGAGGGGCCTCCAGTGCTTCGACTGTGTCTTATTTATCTGTGTCTCCCGTAGCACAGGGCCTTGTAGAACACACGTGGGCACTCAGTAAATGTGGGGCGAATGGCTGGTTTTGAGATTGGACCAGTGGAGTTGATCCCAACTCATGGCGCCGTGTGTGTGTCAGAGTAGAATTGCTCCACAGGGTTTTCAACGGCTGATTTTGGAGAACTAGATTGGCAGGCCTTTCTTCCGAGGTGGCTTTGGGTGGACTCGAACCTCAACTTTTCAGTTAGCAGCCAAGGGCATTAACCTCTCCTCCACCCAGGGACTCCTTTGAGGTTGGAAGACAGGAAATATACAACAAATGCACGATGTTCTTGAAGTTACACTTGGCTCACAAGTTTTCAAATGAAAGGACCCACTACGGGCCTGACTGAAAGGGCCTGTTTAGTCAAGCTCCAAAAACCTGTTGCCTTTGAGTCGATTCTGACACACAGCAACCTTATAGGACAGAACAGAACTGCCCCATAGGGTTTCCAGTGAGCGGCTGGTAGATTCGAACTGTCAGCCTTTTGGTTAGCAGCCAAGCTCTTAACCACTGTGCCACCAGGGCTCCAGTCAAGCTCCCGTGTATTTTATAATTGACCTGTGCTAGAACAATTGGGAGTGCTGAGTATATATAGGGGAGATTCTTAATAAAGACATAAAAGGCTGGAGGAAAAAGAGCAAGGCAGCTGAGTCAAAAAAAAAAAAAAAAGATTTACTGGTTGGGGCAGGATCTGAAATACAGTCCTGCGAGAATCCATTAAACGTCTCATGATAAAGAATGCAAATTCAACTAAGAGTTATGGGCCAGGGACTGTACTAGAAGCTTTCCCTGTGAGGTGCACCCCTCCCCCATTTTACAGCTGTGAAAACTGCAGCCCCGATGATGAGGTCGATGATGAGGTCGTTTGCCCGAGGTCATCTGGCCAGCAGGCCGGGGCAAAGACAGTCGCAAACCAGTTGGTGTTCCACATTGTTAGGGAAACCATCCCTCAGACCGTGTGATTTAGTTTGTGGCCAGGGCGTTCTCGCTTCTTAGACCCCCTGTGTGGAAGCTCAACATCTCCACACTTGGGTGCTAGCACCCCCTTCTGGTCTGTCAGAGCAGCTGGGCTCCCTGTGCCATCGGAAAGGGGATGACAGCCAGTGACCAGAATGAAAAGCTGCAGGATGAGGCAAAGGAACAAACCAGGGCCATGAAAACCTTCGCGGCCACCCATCTCAGAGGTTTTCCCGTGATGGCCAAGCCATCTTCAGGGTGCTAGGAATGGTGCTGGATTTGGCAACCAGATGAGTTCCGATGGGCCTGCTTTTGAATCCCAACCCTGTTGTCTACTAACTGGGTGACCTTGGAGAGTGACTTCCCTTCTCTGAGCCTTATTGCCGTCATCTGTAGAAAATGATGATTTGGGGTCAGAAAGGTTAAGTAGCTTGTCCACGTGACTATAATTGGGATCCAGGCAGCCTTACTAAGTGCTCAAAAATGCTCATGCCATTGGTCTTCTTTCTGTCACCAAGCACTTTACTGAGCATCTCCAGGGGTCCAGGCTCTGGGGACTCACACAGTGAACAAAACACACATGGCTGCCGCCCTGCGGGGCATCTCCTCCTGCTGCGTGTCTCTCCTGCCTACATCCAGAGAAAGTTCTCCACTTTTAAGGCTTCCTCTGTTTAGTTAGCCACAACAATGAACTCAGACGTACCAACGACCCTGAACATGGCTCAGGACCGGGCCACGTTTCGTTCTGTTTTACATAAGCAACTGACAGGTGTTTAGATTGGACTCACCTGGGTCATCTGGGACAATCTTCCATCTCAAGGTCCTTAACTTTCATCACATCTGCAAAGTCCTTTTTGCTATAGACCATATT